AGTTTTTTCTGTTTCACTTCCTCTAATTTATTGTAAAATCTGTAATTGAAATAAACAAGGTATATTGTTTATTATTTATTACCATACATATTAGGAATACACAACATACAATTTTAAGGTAGCGAGAAGGGAAATTTTCACTTTTTTCTTGATTTTCCAAAAATTGTTAAAACGGTTACCTTAGACCTTGATACATCATCCCAGGTTTACAAAAGATTGAAATTGCGAAATAGCGTTGCTTCAATTAGTGTTTTAAAACGCTAGAAGAAAAGACTACAACTGCAGTTTCGTGGATATTTGCATAGTGTTTATCTTTGGAAGGGTTTAAATGATAACATCTTATCTGTATACTCTGTTGTTGACGATTCTGATATAACGGGTGATAAGCTTTCCGTCGCAAACAATGCGTGTTTATCTAATGTCCATTGCCAGCATTATTGTCAGTCGAGACTTCGTCGGAGAAACATTGTCATACAGTCCGGGCATACAGTACTCATTTCGCCCAACCTTCCGCTTTTACATCGACTACTTATCGCTTAATTTCCGACCATGCGGTCTTGTCCGACCGGAAACCGACCGCATTTTAATCACGGTTTTTTTTTGTGCTCGCACGCTCATTGAAACACCGACCGCTCGCCCAAACACTGATCACTGGCACATGAGTGGTCGAAATGGTGGTTTTGATAGTAAAGTGTGAATATACAACTAGTATTAACTATTATTAAATTCTGAACAACATTTCAAATCTAATAGTTGTATGACACTTGTATCGTGACCTCTTGTTACGTGTTTTGGGTGCTTGTTCTAGATGTAATATTTTTTATTATTTTAATGAGACAGTTACGTGAAAAAAGCATAGGTAACTCATTTTGACAGAGCAGAGAAACTAAGAAATGTTAATGATTAATTCCAAAAATAACGATACCAAATCCACGTCGGCCGGTCTGGTAAAATTTGACATTCAATTTTCAAAAATAAGTCATGATCATGAATGAGTTCAGTCTATACCGTATCGACTAAAAGTGACCACATGCCCTGAAAAAATCGAACAGTGCTTGACATGTATGAATAATTTATTGGGCTTGAAAAAACACGTCAAATTTAGTTATAGCCATAAATATTTGGTGGCCAGTCGATGAACAATTCGAAACTCAGGATTCACACGGAAGTCCTTCTGGTCTGAAAATCGTCGACCCTACTCTGGTTGTCTTTATTTCTCAACTTGCAGAGAAAACTGATTCGTCGTGGACTCTAATGTATCTAAGCCTAGTATTTTCTTTTTGAACTGAGGTCAAATTCCAGCGAATAATGTTGAAGCCTGTCACAGCACAAAAACACTATGTGAATCGACGCCGGAAATTGGATGGTACGACGATCCTTCAATTAGCGTCAAATATGCTTTGTTACAACATCTTTGATTGGCTGAAAGTCACATGATCGGAGCACGACCTGGGTCACAGAACCATATTTGTCCGTATTATCAACAGGACCTCCAAAAGAACCACACCCACACTTTCAATCTTTTTTAGCGCGGAAGTTGCCAACAAATGTAAAAAAACTCATGAATTTCATGGATTCGAATAAAATAAAGCAAGCGATTGATAAGAATGATTTCCCCGATGCTCTTTGAATTTTTATTTTATTTCAAGGTAAGAAATGGCTAGTTGAAGTTGCATCGTCTTCAATGCGGCTGTTTCATCGCAAACAACTCTAGCTCGGTTGTAGTTTTGCAATGTAAAATGAAATATATATTATGATAATAATACTTGTTTAATTATATGGGGTTTTAGCTCACAAATTACAGACATGATCTCCACGAATTACGGTCAATATTTGTCCTGTCTCGGCTGATTATGTTGATCGAGGCCCTTCCTAAAGTCAGTATGGAGAAACCAACTGGGATCGACATTCCAAACAAATTATTGGGACACGGTCGACAGACATTCCAAACAATCGAAATTATCAAGGAAAAACGAGATTTTTCAAGATATTTACAGACATACTGACATGAAAAACATATGTAAAATTAACAAATACACAAAGAGGTGTAATATTAGGTTTTATTTTAGGCTTAGAAATATTCTCTTTCACTCAGCTCATGCATGGAACTGCCATTTAGCTTCATGGTCCTTCAGCTTGTCTTTGCCTCGGGGGAAAACAACAATAATTATACAAAACACATTGCCAAGACTCAACAACCAGGAAAGAAAACCCAGACAACCATGTTGTACTTGTGTTGAAATACAAATTGTATTTCACGTCAGAATATTGTTTAAAATAAAATATTCAGTCCAAGCCAAATCAAGGTCAAAGGGTCAGATTGCGTGTACATAATTATAGATAGTTAAAACAAAAAGTATTTGTAATGAACTTTTGTCAGCTGTTCAACATTCATAAAAACCAGAAAGACAATTATAAGACAATGTGAACCTTGGAAATTTTTCTATTAATCCAAATTTTAAATGCCCGCGAGCGAGCGGGCGGGCGGGTGTGAGTGAGGTGATATTTCGGGGTTTGCGCGGTCGAAAATAAAGCGGAAATTGTCCGATCGAATTCAACAAGCGGTCGCAAAAGCGAGAGAAAAGGGTGATAGGAAAGCGGAAGCACGGGAGGTTGTGCGAAATGAATACTGTAACTTTGCGCAACTTTCTTTTAAATCGTTTTATTTTCCAAGTCAATATTCTATTTTACTGATACTATTTTTTCTAACAAAGAAAAATCTGCCACTTAGTGTCGCAATCTGAAACAGCAATTTTTTTTTCAAACATCGGCCATTTTTTTTCACCATGAAAACCGTTTTATTAGATCTCTTATCAGAGACACTTGAAGGATTAGCTTGTTTGTAAACTGTCAGCGTGTACAGTGGGACAGTAATGTTTGTCAGAGGATTATCCATCATTTTTCGTTTGCATAACAATGAAAACACGAACGTTCCTGGAGTGCGGACTCAAATGCCAGCAGTTTTCTTCAATTTTCACGCTCGAGCTTGAAATTATTCATTATCTGACACTCTTTATGAATTCTATGATATCAGAGATTAATATGTTTGGCCATTTTTAGTGTATATTTATAATAATGCAGCAAATCTACAGTGTTTTATTAACCCAAACTGTTTTTCGCGTTATTCTCGAATTGAATTTTTGATTTAGTACGACTCATTGGGACCGCCGCCAAATCAAGCGCGTTCGGACTAGGACATTCAAACTTGCAGTTATCGTGGTGCGAAATATGTTTGGGTTTTTAAAGAAAATGCTTTGTCACAGAATAATAGTCTGTTAAAGGTGCCAAGTATGAACTAATTTGGGGGCAAAAAAACAAACCTGCATAGAAATCAGAATAATAGTTCTTTTGATTACCGGGGACACATTTCAATGGACTTGATTACAGACAATGCATGACGTAAATTTCACCAGGAAATTCTGCAGTGTGCTCTCACAATCGCGGACTTAGTCATTTTTACAAGGTTTGTCATTTTTGATGTCACGTGATAATTATGTAAACAATGACTGTCCAGTTTGTGCGAACTTGTACCTCTATACTTAGTCTTTTGAAATATATAAGCTAAATTACTGTTCTGAATGAGACAACAGAAAGAGAATGTTTTATTTGAAAATGTCACAAAACCCTTCTTGCTACCTTAATAATAATATAGATGGTAATATGAGAGATTTCATACAAGTTATGTGCAATGACTGGTTTATGGGGCATGTTTTTGAACCATCTCCATGTTAATTCATTAGACAAACAATTATGAATGTGCAGACCCTTATTAGTTTTGGGTTGAAGTCCCAGTAGTGTAAAATACTTTATTTTCACTTGCAATCAATTTTCGCTGTTCTCGCTGAACGGAATGATTCAATGAAAGTAAAATCCAGAAAATATACTTATTTTCCTATATTTTACATTCAACTAGTCAAAAATAAGTGAAAATAAATTCCATACAAAACGCCCAAAAAGTCTTTTCAGTGACAATTAATATTTTATTAATATATTAAGATTAATAAACGTAATTAGCATTTAAAGCTTCTTGTTTGTCTGGTATCTCAATCAAGAACCACTCAATCTGCAGATCTGAATCTAAATCTATTATTAATCAAATGCAAAAAATAACCATGCACATGTCTCTAACTACCGATATGTCTTATTTTTGTACTAACTTTGAACACAATCTGTCAAAACATGACTTCATGCACACATACTGATGAAAAAAATAATAACTATACCTGAGGTTTCTTTCTTTCATTTCCTTTTCTTCTTTCTTTCTGTCATCTAAAGTCTTAATTGTCATGGAAACCATTGGTGTTTTCTTTTTTGTAGGCTTCGTCATCACCTCTGTGTTGCCAAGAAATTGGACAGTTTTTGTAGTTCCTTGGGCATCCATTGTTGTACCTTAGAGGATTAACAAAATTAAGATTAATTTACAATCAAGATGCTATAATAGTGTTTATGAGATCACATCTATCTGTATTCATTGCACTTGTATATTATAATTTCTGATATTGAACAATACAATCCATTGTGGCATGGTACCCATCAACAGATATATTATAATTTCTGATATTGAACAATACAATCCATTGTAGCATGGTACCTATCAACAGATATATTATAATTTCTGATATTGAACAATACAATCCATTATGGCATGGTACCCATGAACAGATATATTATAATTTCTGATATTGAACAATACAACACATTATGGCATGGTACCCATCAACAGATATATTATAATTTCTGATATTGAACAATACAATCAATTGTGGCATGGTACTCATCAACAGATATATTATAATTTCTGATATTGAACAATACAATCCATTGTGGCATGGTACCCATCAACAGATATATTATTATAATTTTAGATATTGAACAATGCAATCCATTATGGCATGGTACCCCTCTGTATAGACACTTACCAACTTCAGTGACCATTTCGTACTTCTTTCTGACATCTCTGGGATTTTTAACAGCTTTGGTTATTTTCTTTTTATGTTTCACTGCCTTTTCTCTGGCTTCAATTTCTCTTCTCTTGGATGAGTTTATAAAGTCTTGCTTTCTCTTTTCAAAGGCTTCTTGTAAACTCATAGACCCACCTGATGAAATGAAATCATTCAAATAATGCATACTTTGATGATGCATGCTTTGAATGCATGCCTAGCTACACATCTAGCAGGTTTTCCACTCTTCCATGGCAACAAATCACCTAACTGCATGTCATGCATGTCTTCCACTCAACACATATTGTTCATAAATGGTGATATATTGCAAGAGAAACAATACATCAAACAAGCTTTGAGCTAAGCCTTCCAAATGTTTTAACAATGATGTACATGTACTAGTAGTAATATTCATACCTTGTTGTCCAGGTATATTCAATGGTAAAAGGGATGATCCATCATCTATAGTGTTGTCACCAAGGGTTCCTTCTGAGATAGTGTCCATATTCCTAGTCTCACTTACAGTGTTGTCAGTAAGAGTTCCTTCTGAGATAGTGTCCATATTTCTCATCTCACTTACAGTGTTGTCAGTAAGAGTTCCTTCTGAGATAGTGTCCATATTTCTCATCTCACTTACAGTGTTGTCAGTAAGAGTTCCTTCTGAGATAGTGTCCATATTTCTAGTCTCACTTGAAGGACTTTCTTTCATCTGGTATTCATGTTGTTCAAAGGAATCTAAAGATTCTTCTTGCAAGTCATCAATGCTACCAATGGATGAACTTGTTTCTATTGATAGCAGAGTCAGGTCTGGTTCTTCTAGGATTCCACTTTCTCTATATTCTTCCTATGTATGAATGTAAAATTCACCATGATAACAACAATTAATACAAATACAAAACTTAATTGTTCATATATGTCTCAAAGTTGGATTACAAATAATACTGGGCAATATGTTTGACAAAAAAACAAAGAATCACAGACTTATTTATATATCATGAACCACTTTGACCAAAAATATTAGAAATTGTCTAGAAAACAAAGTTATGTAACATAGATTAACCAACCTGAGTTTCTTCTTTTTCAGCAAGGTTCCCATGTTCCAGAGCTTCTTTCATCTGATGATACCGCTGACTCAACATTTCCAGTCTTATTTTCTCTTCCTGTTCCTGATTGAGATGCTTTTCTCTAAGTGATCTAGATTCTTCTATTAGTCTATCATACCTATTGACAGACATGTCTGTGCTTGCATCCCTCATCAATCCTGGCACTATACTTGTATCTGTATCTGCATCATCTACAATTTTGACATTTTCTATTTGTGACATCTGCTCAATGGTATCTATACTTGATTTCAATGGGCTGTGAATTTGCATGTAGTTTGGTAATGGAGAATGTTTGACATCAGAACTGCTCATACTGCCTTCATGGAGTAAAAGAGACTCATTCTCAGTTTCAGTAAGAGGATACTGACTCATAGATGCATCTGATACGAGAGGAATCTCTGACATCTGTGATGCACGACCTCTTGGCAATTCAATGTCATCTTCAGATGAAATGTATTCATAAACAGCAGTTGGTTTCTCAATATATATACCTGCACTAGATTTACTACTGCCCTCTAAAGATTTTTCTTGACTAACTTGCGACTGAGCTTCAACTTGTTTCTCAGTTTTGTGCGGTGATCCAAAATCTCCAAATGTATAATCTCTATGTTCAGGAGTTGATGGGGAGTGAACCGGGGATTGGAAATCTTCATTATCGTCAGACCTCTCCAGACCTCTGCTATCATCTTCCACTAATGGTTTTGTGGTTTGTGGTGTTGAATGGCTACTGCCAAACTTTAAAGCATCCCTCCATTTGAAGCTGGATAATGAACTCAGGGAAAGCATTTCAGGTGTAGCTCTTGCAGAATATTTGGAAGATGAAATACTGTCTGAATAATCACTTCGATTTAGAGATGTAACTCTTTTTCCTGATTTCCCAGGAGAAAAGCTAAGGTTATTCTGTGTTGAGATGCTGTGTTCTGACAATGAATCTGCTTGAGTTGATGGTACAAACATAAATCTTCTCTTAGAAGGACTATAAATTAGTCTTTCTTCAGGTGACTTGGAATCTTTCTTTGTAGACTGTAATGAAGACATGCTCTTTTTGGGTGAAGGGTAACCCACTGTTGAAAAGCTATGATCTGTCAATGTTTCTTGCATTAGTGGTTGGAATCTGTCAATATCTCTGCTGTAACTCAGAGATGAAGGACTGATTGTAGACTTTGATGTACTGTCATTTGTAGACATTAAAGTTTTCAACATTGTACTTTGAAGATGAGACATGGTAGGGGATTTGTTATCTTGGCTTTCTTCTTCTTTGTTGGTGCTTCCACTTGATTTTGGCAGATCATAAAACTTAGAGTTTTCAAATGTACTGTCAGAATCATCACTACTATGCACTTTGGATCGCTGAAAGTAAACCGGATCAACAAGTCCACCCTCTCCTTTGGCTTCACGACTGTAAGTACTAAAACCATAAGCTGATGATTTAAAATCCAGGTGTACTTTGTCAGTTCTCCCTTCAAGTTCACCAGATGTAATACTATCAGATGCAAAACTACCACTAGATAATGAGTCCTCATGTGATGCTCTTGGCTTCCATATTGTTTGCATGAAATGTCCATCATTCTTAACAACAAGACCAGATGGCTGAACTGTGTCTATGCCCATATATGGGGCATGCTGTAAGAACAAAATATATTGAATCTTTACTAACACATTATTATAATAATGTAGTATCTTTGATATTTGAAATCATATGCAATAAACTTATGTTACATGAAATATAGTTTGTACATATTATTTAATACATACATGACAAAAATGAAAAAAAACACATTATACAATGTAGTATCTATAGTACCTGTTAGAGGCATGGAATAACTTGACTACTCTTAAATGGCAGCCCCCCCACCCCTAAGTATACATGCAGCTACAACCAACTGAATAAATTAGTTGAACATATGAAGTTTATGTCGGATACTGTAAAATACTTTATTTTAGCTGGATTTAATTTTCACTGAAAAAACTTTTTGTGTGTTTTTCATGGAATTTAATTTCACTGATATTTGACGAGTTGGATGGAAAATATAGGAAAACAGGTATATTCGCTTGATTTTATTTTCACTGAACCACTCCCTCAGCGAAAGTAGCGAAAATTTATTCCAAGCAAAAATAAAGCACTCTACAGTACCTACATATTCCAGAATACTCACTCAGGTAATTAATAATTTAACCAATCAAAAAGCCACATCTGTTTTATGAACACAGAATCTAAGTATAGCAGTAAACATTCAGTATCAGTATCAAAGTAGTGAACACATGTAAAGACTTCTAGGGTAGTGCACTAACTTACCCCGGATGATGGATATGACATAATTCCTCTCCCAACATCATCAGCAAAGCTTGGAACACTGGCATAAGCTTCCTTATTTCTCTCAACAATGCTTGGTACACTGGCATAAGCTTCCTTATTTTTCTCAGCAATGCTTGGAACACTTATATAAGCCTCCTCACTTCTTTCAGCAATGCTTGGTACACTGGCATAAGCCTCTTTATTTCTCTTAGGACTTTGGTGATCCTGTTGTTCAATGTGGGAGCTATCATCATCATCATCTCTAGATGATTCTATTTCTTCAATTGTGCTTAGTTCATGTGGATGTACACTATCACTTAAGGGAACATGCCTCTGAACTGGTGGAGGACCTCGTAATAGTCTTTTTGATGCACTAACTTTGGCTGCATCATTTTGTTCATGATATCTCTGTGCCTGTTCCAACTCCTGTTTTTGTTTCTCAACTTGTTCTTGTATTTGTTTTTGTCTCTCATGCATCTTTCTTTGCTGTTCAACTTGTTGTTGTAGAAGAGATTCTCTCTGTTTTTCCAAAAAATCTTTTTGTTTTGCAAGTTGCTCTTGTCTTTTGGAATGTACCTGTTCTAATCTTGAGGATACAACGAGTTTTGCATAAGAAGAATCTTGATCAGGGTGATTGTATGATTCTCTCATAGTTGGTGATAGTGATTGTAAACTGAAACGTTGTTGCAGTGTTGGTGCCTGCATGCCATGTTGCAGTGTTGGTGCCTGCATACCATGTTGCTGTGGTGGTGCCTGCATGCCATGTTGCTGTGGTGGTACCTGCATGCCATGTTGCTGTGGTGGTGCCTGCATGCCATGTTGCTGTGGTGGTACCTGCATGCCATGTTGCTGTGGTGGTACCTGCATGCCATGTTGCTGTGGTGGTGCCTGCATGCCATGTTGCTGTGGTGGTACCTGCATGCCATGTTGCTGTGGTGGTGCCTGCATGCCATGTTGCTGTGGTGGTACCTGCATGCCATGTTGCTGTGGTGGTACCTGCATGCCATGTTGCTGTAGTGGTGCATGCATGCCATGTTGCTGTGGTGGTGCATGCATGCCATGTTGCTGTGGTGGTACCTGCATGCCATGTTGCTGTGGTGGTGCTTGCATGCCATGTTGCTCTGGTGGTACCTGCATGCCATGTTGCTGTGGTGGTGCTTGCATGCCATGTTGCTGTGGTGGTGCTTGCATGCCATGTTGCTGTGGTGGTAAAGGCACTTGGGATGGTAGTCTTGTCAAATATTGTGGCTGGATGAACTGTGCTGAAGTATTATATGGCTGCAAAGTTGGAAGTCTGACTTGTGGATATTTCTGCATAATAGAATCTCTGCTTCTCTGTAACCTGTCCTTAGCTACAGCAAGTCCATCTTTTGTTTGTTTTTGTTTCTGCAGTAGTCTCTGTTGATGCTCATGAATTAGTCTGCGATGTTCATCTTCAGCTCTAATTTGGAGAACATCAGAAGGACCAGAAGAAAAGGTTTTCCTATTCTCAATAATTCTTAGTCTGTTTTTTTCTAACATGTCTTGTAGTTCTTGTTGTGCAATCCTGTCTTTCTCTATTTGTTCTTCCAAAAGCCGTTTTTGTTCAATTTGTTTCTCCATCAGTTTTTGTTGTTCTTCTTGTCTCTTCTCCAGTTCAGAAATCTACAATGAAGTAAGTACTTAATATTTAGACATGAAAGAACAGTAACAGCACTATCAAAGTGAAAAATTCAAAGTCATGACAATCAGTATGCTAACCACTACACAAACCAGTCTACTCCACTGGCTATAGAGCAAAAGAGAGTACAAAAAAAGACTTGCAATGGGGAGTTCACTTCAATGCAATCTTTCAACAAGCCTAAATAAGAAATCATACACAGTGGATTCAGTGAGAACAAAATAAATGCAGTTTGAAATATGTACAATCTATGAGATAAACTGTAAATGACCATTGTTTGAGCTATGAATTACTTTCATGCAATTCTCAGCATGGGTATCACATAGTGTATAAAGGTTGTTCCATAAGACATATTTGACATTTCTTCCACTGTTTTGTGTGTAGTTGAGTGTTCAGTGTGATGATATGCAGGAATATTGTCTGAAAAGTGTGAATTTGTTGCCATAATAGAGGAGCTTTGTCACAGCCTTATCATAGTTAGGCAAGTACATTTATCCTTCTATCATAGTTAGGCAAGTACATTTATCCTTCTGTCATAGTTAGGCAAGTAACCCTTGAGTCAGTAGATTCGTCCCAATTCACAATTGTTCCAACATATTCTTTTTACACTCTATTTGTTCCAATTCATTTTCTTTCCAATTTGTCCCATTTTCTTTGCTCAGCCTTATGATATTGTGCAGGGTGATGTTGATTTCTGTGTAGGTGTGTAAGGTGTTGTCAATTTTCACATACATGTATGTGTGCAAGGTCTTGCCAATTATGTTATTGATCTACAACTTACTACAGAATCAATTTACAAATATGTCATAAGTAGTGTAAAGTAAATTTCATTAAAATCATGGCGGTAAGATATGGTCAAATACATACATAGGAGGTCTAGATGTGTTTACTTGAATATGCTTATGTGACAATATGTTGATTTCATAGCCTTCTCCAGTGTCTATGTGATATGTTCTTTGATGACACGAGTAGTTTTCAACATGAATATAATTAACTTGGGGCATTGTACCGGAAATGTCCAACACAGTTGTGAGTTCAAAAGAGACATGTTCAGTAAATGTATCAGGACTCTGCCAAACATCACATATGTAAACCATGGTTCCTAATACTTGTGTCCGTATTTTTGTTCCAGTGTAATATCGTAGAGTCAAAACTCAACATGATTCGCTTGTCAAGATCCCATAATTTCTGATATTTGTACCAAGTTTAAACAAAATCCATTCATATACAACCAAGATCTGTTTCCGAAATGGCATAATTGCTCTATTTTGATGAACCTTTAGCATGAAAATGGCTGCCATTCATATCATTGGAGCATGTAAAATATAAATATTTTATTGGAAAGCACAACACATCCTTACAGTAATATTTACTGTCAAAAATAAAAAAAAAAACACTACACATATACATTGCAGTATGAATAGACGTATATGCGATGAGAGTTAGACCACAATCAGATACAGTTTGTTATTTGGATTCCACTGGAACCTGGCAACTTGGAGGCACATGAAGTAAAAATAAGGAATATTTAAAATTAACTCAAAAAAAAAAAATACAGACTGTGATTGAAGTTAACAATGCACACAGAAAATGAATACTTTTGATTGTACATCTCTGGTTTACAGTCTGATTTATTCCAGAGCACCTGTGCAACAAATTTATAATTTGAATTTGATTTTTTTGAGGTACCAGAAATTTCTTAATTTTTGCAAATTATGCATTGTCCTTAGGGATTACTTCAGGGCATATACACAATTTCATTGAAATCTAACTAGTAGTACTTGAGATCTATAGAACTAAAACATGGCAGATTTATTTAAACTAATCTTTTCTATGAATTGCCCACAGAGCACCTAAGTGTGTTTCAAGTAGGCTAATTTATACAAATCAGAAAATTAACATACACAGATTTCAACTAAAAAATAGTGGGGTATCCAATGATACTTATTTCATTGAAACAATTGCCTAATTATGCAAATGAGGTTAATTGGAGAGAATTATTTTAATACAAAACTAATCAGATCCTTCACATTGTCCCCAGGCACCTTTTAAACCAAATTTTATTTGAGGAATTATTATGCAAATTGAGTAATTAATATGCACAGATTTTAACCCCAACCTAATCAGGTTTATGCATTTTCCTAGAGCATCTACGTACCAAGTTTCATTGAAATGAGACTGGTTCTTGAGATAATGGGGAAACAGACATACAAACAGGGTGATTGCACATTTCTCATACTGTACTATTTTATTATAGATGTAAAGTATATGGTAAACTTAGATATCAATTCTTACTTGTTTAGATCTGATCAATGTTGCTTGTTCATAAGGATGTAGTAATGTTGTACTGCCAGAAATAATTGGTTCATCTATGCCAGTAGCTTTATCATCAATTACTGGTTGTACTTCAGTCAATCGTTCCATGGGTGGTATCACAGAAGCTTCAGCAACTAACATATCAGCTGGTTTCTTCTCCGGCAGCCAAGCATCTGTAAGAGAAGAGAAATATACGATTTACGATAGTCATGGGTCAGAAATCTAAATGCAAGCCCACATATCAAGAATTTATTGTGTCCATCTTTATTCTTGAACATGTCTTGACTAGTTTGTATAACTTTGTACAAAGACAAGAAATAATGGTTTACATATGCATGTTGATTATTTTTTTTTGGTTTTGTTGACTTTTGACAAATTTGATGAATTTTCACTTGAAAAACATTTCAATATGTTATCAATCATTTTTCAGGCATGGCATGCTTGGGTCATTGCTGCTTGTTAATGATGCTTGTCATTACGCAATTCTCATGCACACTTTTTTCAATTTGGCAAGACATAATGGTTTGCGCATACACTTCAATTTTTGTTGGGTTTTGATGTAATTTTACTGTCTGGTCCCCATTTTGTTCGCCCCAAAGAATCAAACTCATTGGTCCTCAACCATTTCAACTGCTGCCCAAGTTGATCTCATTCATAAACTTGGCATAGACATCATTTTGTGAGTGTGTTTGCACTTTGTAATTTTATTGAGTTTGATTATTCATTATTAAATAATCTTCCAAAACAGTCTTTGCAAGACACTTGCTAAAATCTAATATTTTCCATTCTGTGAGAGAATTTAAGTAAGCTCTATTGGCATTGTAATGGCTTGTTTTAACCAGAACCCCACACCATACAATAGACTGGCTTTATAATAGCAGACACATATACCAGAACCCCACACCATACAATAGACTGGTTTAGCAAACACATATACCAGAAACCCACATCATACAATAGACTGGTGTAGCAAACACATAAACCAGAACCCCACACCATACAATAGACTGGTTTAGCAAACACATATACCAGAACCCCACATCATACAATAGACTGGTGTAGCAAACACATAAACCAGAACCCCACACCATACAATAGACTGGTTTAGCAAACACATATACCAGAACCCCACATCATACAATAGACTGGTTTAGCAAACACATAAACCAGAACCCCACACCATACAATAGACTGGTTTAGCAATCACATAAACCAGAACCCCACACCATACAATAGGCTGGTTTAGCAAACACATAAACCAGAACCCCACACCATACAATAGACTGGTTTAGCAAACACATATACCAGAACCCCACACCATACAATAGGCTGGCTTAGCAAACACATATATCAGAACTTGCAATACACCTTCCTTCAGTTTACATTTTGTACAGGTACAGTTGTCAATACATTCACATGCAGTAATTTATAAGTTAAGGTAGCGAGAAGGGAAATTTTCACTTTTTTCTTGATTTTTCAAAAATTGATAAAACGTTCACTTTAGACCTTGATACATCATCCAAGGTTTACAAAAGATCGAAATTGCGGAATAACGTCGCTCAAATCAGTATTTTAAAACGCTAGCAGAAAAGACTACAACTGGCGTTTGCATATTGTTTATCTTTGAAAGGGTTTAAATGATAACATCTTATCTGTATACTCTGTTGTTGACGATTCTGATATAACGGGTGATAAGCTTCCAGTCGCAAACAATGCATGTTTATCTAACGTTCATTGTCAGCATTATTGTCAGTCGAGACTTCGTCGGAGAAACATGGTCATACAGTACTCATTTCGCCCAACCTTCCGCTTTTACATCGACCGCTTAACGCTTAATTTCCGATCATGCGGTCTTGTCCGACCGGAAACTGACCGCATTTTAATTGCGTTTTTTTTTTTTTTTTTTGGCTCGCTCGCCCAAACACTGATCACTGGCGCAGGAGTAGTCGAAATGGTGGTTTTGATAGTAAAATGTGTACGTACAACTAACTAGTATTAACTATTATTAAATTCTGAACAGCACTTCAAATCTAATAGTTGTATGACACTTGTATCGTGAATGA